TGTTTCCTGAATTCTAACATCCCTTTTCAAGCATAAATTTCTTGATTTCTACTTAGCTGCATTAACTTAATCTTCATTAATGAATTTAATATATATGTATTCGTATAAAATGTTGTAAAAGCGTGAAAAAACTTAAAAGGAATATAAGTTATAACCATAAATAATTAATAAATTATACTCATAAAAAAGAGATAAATAGAATTTAAGACCCCGCGTATACTTGTTCCTTTGCTAGTTTGCGTTTTCTTTCTGAGAATCGAACATTTGGATAGCATTTTGAAATTTTGGAAAATCACAGATTAGCGCTGCATCGACAAATATCATTATATTTCACATATTTTTTCTGCGTAATCACAGCGTTATAGCAGCTAACCTTTCTGCATTATGTATATTAATGTAAAGAATTAAATTTTTTCCCAGAAATATTGAGATTTGATGTTGAAAGATCTTTCGTTGTAATAATTCCACAACCAAATCCTTTGATAAAAGAAAATGTAACGTCACCCACTTGTGATAACTTATCGAAAATAACACGTCAGTTTAATTTTCAAACCTTCACAGATTCTTAGTTGAACACATCAACTAACATCAACTATTGCAATCAACCTATTGAATATACCATAATAGGAAAAATATTGACAACATTATTTTATAGAAGATTATAGATATTATTTTATAGAGATTATTTTTAGAGAAGACAGGTTTGTATTCAAATGGTGGGGGAAAGAAAAGGAAATGGCTGCTATTTTAGATTGAAAACCGCATGCAAATGCAATAACCACAATTGATCGGAAGTCTTAAATTTCGTGATAAAGATTCCATACCATTGCTTTCCAGACGAATCTTGAAAGGATGTGTACAGAATCGAATATATCCTATAAGGCTTTAGAACTGTTGTTTTAATAGCACACACCAAAAAAGCTAAATGCTAGGAAAACAAATTTCATTATCGCAGGTGAAGAAGTTTCTAATTAATCTCCGAAACCATAGTACTCCAAATTTATGCGCATTACCCTGGTTCCAGCTACCTATTTAGAATTTTTTTTAGCATTGCTCAGGTTTATTTAGCATGAGAACTATTGTTAATTACGTATTAATAATAACGATAAAAATAAAAAAGTAATATCTCAAGCGTATGGAGATGTCGTTATTGCAGTCGCCCAACACAGTTGCCAATGTATGCTAAAATGTACAGAGGAAAACCACCAGTCGTTATGCAAAGGAAAAGAAATGGGCATTGGTTAAAAAAAGAAATGGTGAAAGAAATTCGTCGTGTCCAAGTCAAGACAGGTTACATCGAAGTAAACTTTAATAGTGTAAAATAAAGTTTTCAGTTGCAACAAACAGGCTGCTTCAGGAGAAAAGTAACAGAGAGTGACAAGAATACAACAGAAATGAAAAGTGATATCTACCCATATCGATCTTGTGCTTGTGAAATAGGAGATGAGTAACAATGCTCCTTTTTCTTTCTTTGGGTCATTTTTCTCTCTCAGCAACCTGCTTTCCACAGCTTGACGACTTTTTTTCACAACCCAAAATATATTTCTTTTTAACCTTAACCTTAATCAAACAGACGTTGTTTAGGTATCAGAATGTATTTCCTTTCAATACTTATCGTTTGTTATTACCCACACATTTCCTTTCGCGTTACGTCGGGTGTCAATTCTTTCACAGTGTCCGATTTCAGTCCTTTGCATTCAATTCTTCTCATTCTTTCATTTCAGTTCTTTTACATGGTCCAAAAGTCTGATCACACTTTGGCAACTGTATTACGCGACTTCATTAATGGCATCTCGAGCAATTTTGATATATTTTTCTCCTTTGTAATGATGGCAGGAGAAGAAAAATCCTTAATCCCTGAAAGCTTGCAGTTAGCGAATATGAAACACATATTGACAAACACGACAATAGTTTCTGCATAGTCGAATGGATGACGATTTTAAGAGAAAGTACCGAGCTACTCAGATAAAATAAATTATCCTTCGTTTTTTTTTTCGTTCGGACACAAAGAATAAAATTGATGGATGCATCTAATACTGTATTTGATATTTGAAGCGATGTTGTCCAACTACTATGAAAAGAAGCAAAATGCCTTTCTCCAGATCGAGAAGCAGCGATCATCAAATTCTAAACTTTAAAGAAAATGACAGAGTTCTAAAAACTAGAATGAGGAGGCAATTATATTATTTTTTCCTTTCGTAAACTTTAACTAAGTTTTTTTTAATCTATTTATAATTTTAGAGTTAGAATTCCAGATTGAAATTATCAGTGCAAAATTGACGTTTAATAATAACAGCAGTTTCTATTAATATCACATATTTATATGCAGTCGTCTGCTCAAGTAGAAGTCATAACAGTAAATTGTGAATCTACAGTGTTCTTGTACAAAATTCATTTTCCCTCTTTAGTGGACATTTTAGAAACGAGAGCTTCCCAGTTTCTAAACTTGCCATTGACCTCTTATTCAAGTTTCTTAATTACTAAAAGATTACACTTAAACTGTTATCTCATTCTTCAAGAAGGGTGTAAATAAATAGTGTTAAAATTAATTACTTCATTGTTAATAATTGATTTTATTTTAATTTTAAATGCTTTATAGAATTTCAATTATAAAAATGAAATTTTGAACATTGCGTCGTGTTTTTCTGCTTCTAGCTTTTATAAAGTGCACTTTACTCTCTTAATATGTAAATGTATTTAATTTGTAAACATCTGTTGTTTACAGCAGTCATATTTTATTTATACAAATGCCAGACATTTGACCACTAAGCCGTTAGTCTTGATCTTGCTTCCCAAAACTTAAGAACAATAGAATTAAAAGGTAACAACGCAGTGCATTCGTCAGTATGCTCCTTATCCATAGACTGTCTAGAGTTACAAAGAGTACAGACAGAAGAGTCCTTAAGTCGAATTTTAAAAAGATCATCATTCAGACAATTGTGCTCAGTCAAAAGTTGAAATAACGCTACTGCTACAGGACAAGGAAAATCCCGAATAAACTGGCTTTGAACTACTGAGACAGTCCCAGGCCTTTCTCTTAGCTTAATTTGATAGGTAGCAGGCAAACCTCCTCTTAAATTCTAATTTAATTAGGAGTTTTGCAGAATTAATGGTTATGAATTAATGGTTGCAGTCATATGGTTATGAATGTTTTGTAGAATAGTTGCTACAGAGCAAAGAAAATTTGAAAAAACTGGCTTTGAACTAGTGAGACACTCCCAGACCTTTCCCTTAGCTTCATTTGAAAGGTATCAAGCAAACCTCCTCTTAAATTCTGATATAATTAGGAATTTTGCAGAATTAAAAATCATAGGGTTATTATTGGTTTGTAGAATAGTCGTTTCCTTTCTTTGCCAGGAAATCGGCTCTTTCATTTCCCTTGGTGCCACAATGAGCAGAAATTCACTGCAAGACATTTGAGTCAGTCAGAGCGTTGAGAATCTTACTACATTCGTAAATTCGTTCGGAAGCACAAAATTTATTGTTGGGGATAGCCTGCAAAGCGTCTTTGCTATCGAACAAAATAACAGCCCGAAGGAAATTACTTTTCCGATCTCTTAACTGATTCGGAGCAATAGATATGGCCTCAACTTCACCATCAAAACTGGTAGTATCTCTTCTCACTGCCTCACCTGCTCCAGTCTCTCTCAATCATGAATCCTACAGTAGTCATATAAAAGGGGTTAAAAGTTAAAGGTAAGACAGATCAGTTAAGACAGGTTAAAGTTTAAAAGTCATGTAAGATTGATCTTTAAGACAGGTTAAATAAGATTTTTGTTAATTTTCTTATTAATCAGATAAGGTGAGAATTTCCGTGTTCAACTTCATTTTCTTTCAAGATAGAGAGTTTCGAAACTTGCTTTCGTCTTAATTAGAAATTTTCAGTTTCCTTGGGATCCTAGGCTTCTTTGCCATTTTAAGTAATGTACTGCAGAATCTGACACAGGAATTAATTTTATCTTACGATTCAATACTAAATCGTAGTATCAGTTGTTTCTTCGATACTTTAGACAAAACGTCTAAAATTTTATTATTATTTACTTCGTTTAATATTTTGTCCATTCCACTCAGATGCGCAATGCCAAGTGGGAAAAATTCTACAGAACAATACATTACTAAAACAATTTCGTAAATAATTTCTGATTCAGCACTATATTGTTCTGTCAAACGTTCGTTGAAATGTAAGCTTCAAGTCTTCAAGCAAAAAACGTTTGCCTACTTATATTACTTTCTTGGTAACTTTTTAAATATAAGATTGATGAAGTGTGTTAAATATTGTAAACTTATGAGTTCCGAATATCAACATATAACCATGCAGTGAAATTCTTCCGGCTACTTAAAAGCTAGGAAGAAAGTTATAGTTTATACTTAAGAATAACTTAAATGTAAAAATGTTATCTATCTTAAATATTTTGCTTCCACCTTTCCTACTTAGTTGCCTTTGAAATGGAGAATTTTATGTAAAGCTATGCAAATTAGGGGCTTCAATTTTAGCCTGATTTTACTGCTTGAAAGTACTCTTTATTATTGATTATAATATTTATCGTTACAAGTAAAACTACTATTTTAAGTTATCTGTAGCTACTTTAAGTTATAATAGTTATTTTAAATTTAGTTATTATTTGATATATTTACATACTATAGGTATTGAATTTGGAAGCATATTTAATAATTCAGGAGTTTCAAAGTATTCATAAATTATTTGACGAATTTCAAATATTCAGTCTCATTTCAAAATTAAAATTGTAGATTATGAAGAAATAATCGAAAGTTAGGTATACAAAAACCCTATAAAACGCACTTGTATGTGACATCCAATAGCAAGTTAACAATTGTAACATATTTGTTAGTTTATTCCGGTATAACAATTAAATTTTATTCTTGAGTGAAATGTTGAACCAAAACATGAAAAACTTCATCTAGAGTTACTTAAACTACTGTACATGTGTAATTGTTAGTGTCACTGGTGAGAAAACTAACTTTTCCAATAAGACAAAAAATTTAAACGAGATTAAAAATTCATTTTTTATATATTTATACAAAATCCTTTCTCAGATGAAAATTACAAGTTTCACACACACATAGCACCTAGAACAAATGAAGAAACTGCCATCTGTTCATTTTGTCCTCCTGAGAGAAATACCCCAAGAATTCTCATAGAGAATTCTTAATTCTAGCCGTTATATTACAATGAATGTGGTTCATGATCTTCCGTTTCTGTATGATCTAGAATGAAACCTCTATCATGCATGATGAGTTACAAGTTTCTTGGTCATGGTTTTTGTGGATTTAAATAGTGTTAGAACACTGTTTTTCAAGACCAGAGGCTAAACCATTTAGATTCTATGATGAGCATGTAATTTTCTCAGTTATTTTCCATAATCACTGTAATGCTCAAAGATATTAGCACATGCTAGACGTCCTTCTCCAAAATCTGGTTCATTTATTACTACAGATCTTCCTATAACACTAGTTGGACCTGCCAAAGGTAACGATGGGTCTGTAAAATAATATCGAGCTATTTGTTGCTTATTACCTTGGACCCCAAAAGGAGGAATATCCAAATAACCTAGTTTCCCTGAAAAATCTCCTATTTGACACCTCTGTGATGCCACTCCAGAGCAGTGGCTGAAATAATAACCATCGACGCTGACATTATAAGGGTTAAATACTGATCCTGCTTGAAGACAGTCTATTCCACTCAAACTAAATCTCTGACCAGTTGGAATAGCTCTTTCATTTACATGCCATGGATGATGGTAAGTTTTCGTATGAGATGCGCCAGATGGATAAGATAATTCTAAATATACTGAAGTATCCGCAGAAGGGTCATCTCGATCTTGACGCAAAATGAGTTGCCCTTGCAATGGGAAATCGAATGTAGCAAATGCTGTAACTACTCGTCTGCCTGATAATTCAACATTAGCGCAAGCTAGAGGTCGTCCGTCGGGATAATAAATTACAACTGCTCTACCAACAATGCTATTCACTCCGAACAATGACAGCTGAGAATCATAAACTTGTTGAAAATGTTTCTCGCGATTATTCAATGGTCCATACTTCCCACTCAGATCTCCTACTGCATATTGATCAGCGCTGCCTTTGCTTGGTTCAGGAACAGCATCAGGAGATTTTTTTAATGGATTATAAATAGTAGTTTTAACATTTGGGCAGACTTCCGTCTTATCACCTCTGAAAATCAAGGGCAACTCATCTATTCCATAACTATACGCTTTCCTGTTAAGATCACTCAAATTAATGGTCACGAGAGTGGGATCAAAAGCTGACTCCTGACGAAAGGATATTTCTCCAGCAACTTCGGAATCAAACTTAGCCATAGCTTGTCTCGGTTCCACTGCTGTTAAACGACCACATGCTAAAGGCTCAGATGGGTCAATATCAGAATAAATGACAATGTACAAATTATTCTGAACACGTTCTAAAACTGGTGCTGACACAACCGTGTGGTACGTGCGACCTGTAATTGCATTAGGCTCTCTTCCTACAGCGGCATATCCAACAGTTTCTGAGATGTGAAAGAAGGGCGTAGCTTGAAGGTTAGCACAGCGTGTGATTTCATTCTGATAAATAGCTGTAGGTGATTCCGCCGGATTTGATACGGTTTGTAGTATAGCCCATCGATGAATGGAATCTCGACGTGTACCGTTGACATACCACAATTGAGATAAAATACCAGTTCCAAATCCACTTTGTCTTACAATTACTACTCCACCCAGTGGTGTGGAAATTTTTGCTTGATAGGTTCGTATTCTTGAAGTGGGCTGAATAACAGCACACGAGAGCCTGCCAGTTTCAGGACTGCGTAAGACAAGGGTTCTTCCTAATATTGAAGCGTTTCCAATCAGTTTTAAATTTGAAAGCAGAACCATATCTTGTCCCGCAGTAACAGGTCCATGGGTTTCTGTGAAGTCCACATACCTAAAAATATATCAATAGTTGGTCAGTTTGGGGTAAAAACAATAAGAGAAAAGACATTTTTACATCGAACATACACTGCTGTACAAAGATTTCAATACATTCTGGGTTTTTAACTAATAAATCATGTTTCGTATTCTTAACTTTCGTATTCTAACTGTTATTCATTTAAAGATCATTCATATAAATCAGTTTATTGCTGTACTAAACTATATGTATTTGCTTAAAATGGAAATTCCATAATCATGTAAATACGTGAAAGGTGTAAGGCTCCTTTATAGTAATTAACCAATTATTTTACGTGTTAGATATTTACTATCACTTCTTCCTTCTGTTTTACCTTCAGAATGCAAATTAGTTAGTGAGATTTTTAGATTGTAAGACAGAGCGTATTTTGCTTCCGAGGCCACATCACTAGGGCTTGCTAGTTCAGATAAGATTTGTAGTCTTGGGCTTTGCATGATAATTGCCTATAATGAATCTACACGCCAGTTAGACAAGTGAGCCAACTTCGCGTTAAAGTAATCTGTATAGCCTTCGGTTAGCCGCTTACTTGAATTTAAATTCGTATTTGATTATTCATTTAATTTATCTCGCCATAAATGCTGGTGGAGCTTGTAAGCACCAGTAGTGCCTTCTGTTCTTCCTAGTTTTAAATAAAGGGTCATAAACAACCTTCTCAAGTTTCATTTGTTATTTTAGACTTAGCGACAATTCATTTAACGTCTTCTAAGAGTTTGGTCACTATATGAATGATTACAAAACATACCAAATGTTACACAGGGCTAAGTATAAAATTATCGAAAGAGCAACAAAACATCAAAAGTATTCATATGTGTCTGCGTGAATCTTATTCCTTAAAGCTCAGACTTTAGTTCAGAAGCAGTTTTAAAATCAGACAGAATTTTCTTTTAATATCTCGTTTTGTAAAGTATTGTATTGTTGTTTATCAAACTGGCTTCAGATATCTCGTAAAATGAATTAAGTGCATACTGCATTTCAAGTTAGAAAAAGATTTCGAAGTCTGTAACTTCGCAACTCGGGAATCGTTCTATGTACCTCCTTTGAGTAGCTGCTCCATTTTAACCACAATCTTATAGATTAAACGTATATCAGAGAGTTCATGATATTATGTTTATGACCCTTTCGCATGATAGCAATATATACCGCTTGAAATTCGCATGGCGATTAATAATTTACGTCAGCAGAATGCTCTTACCTGCTGCGAAACAACGCCCTGTACTACTTCAGCGCGTTATTTCGGCACACACATTGCACTGCAAAATCTGCTTATTTCGTTCCTATCCACCTACCTTTACATTTTTTGTACGTTTCAGGAAGGGAATCTTGAAATGTTGACACACAAATGAAGAACTATATTCATATATGATTCAAATAATTAAGAAAATTTGTTTTAATTTTATAGATGCAACGCGAGACTGTGTTACAAGGGCAGTTTGCAGTAATTATCAGTTTGAACATGAGTAGCAAACATGGACTAAATTATTTTCAACTTACTTAGAATCACAAATTATAAAAAATAGACAAAGAATATTTTACCCAAGTAGCACACGACGTTGCAAAGATGTTGCAAAGTGGTCGTGGTAACTTTTACGACGTCTTTACAACGTAGCGAAGACGCAAAATATTTGCCGTTGGATTTTGGCAATTTGTCGACGTCGCTGAAACAGCATCTTTTTCATAGTTCATCAGCGTTACTTTTAGAATGAAAAGAGACTAAATCTGCCCTTTCAAGAATCTGAAGTCCGTATAAGATTTACTTTGCAATGTTTCATTACTTTACTTCATAAAGTAATGAAACATTGCAAAGTATTCATACTAAATATATTAATCGAATTATTCATACTAAATATATTAATCGAAGGTAGATTCATCTAATGAAATATAAATTTAATATAAATACTTCTGATTTATTAAATTTTATTAGTACTAAAGATACGTATGAAATAATTGTTTAAAATTTTGTTAAAATAAATAATGCTTAAAATATTTTTTATAAATATTATAGCAAAATATTTAAAATGAAACTAATCTATAAAGTAAGTTATTAAGTTATGCATTTTATATATTTTAAAAATCCATATTTCCGAAATCAATGCAATTAACATGTTAGCAATTATTTCGCTACCGAAATGTGACTTTATTTTTGAATTAAGGAGGAATTTATTTGAATTAATATGGTGGCATAATATGAAACATTTTACCGCATGTAGTGCAAAAAGTACAATTTTCGCGAAAATATGATTGTGCGCGAAGATGTATTCACGGATAAAAATGAGGCGATTTTAAGAATTCCGAGAAAACGTCCAATGTTAAAAGACGATTCATACCCATACATATTTAACGCTGTCCAATATATATGACGGAAAACTCACCGACAGTCAGGAGAAGCAGAACGGAAAAATTAATGGAAAAAGACAAAGAAATATTAACACTTTTCATGGAAAACAACAAAATTAATGGATTTGATAAATTACTACTAAATGTTGACATGAAAATTAGAGAAACTGTGAACAAAAATACGAAATTCATTACCTATATAAGTTTTGATGAACTCTGTTATGTTTTTACGTTTTTGTCCATCTCCACCGAATAGGATTAAACCAAGCATTCAAAAATGCATGGTTTAATCCTATACGGTACACTCGAGATTTGGCAACATTAGCATTACATATTTTAGCAAGCTCGATAAATATTTTTTGTAAATATAATCTTGTGAAAATTGTTCGTAATTCTATTCTGTTGAAATAATTCTTCTAGACCATTTAAAAAAGATTCTATTAAATTATCAGAAGAATCATTGAAAGGTTTAATGCAGTCGTATAATTCGCTGAAAGTTACATTGCATTGCTCTTCAACCGATGACATTCCACGTACGTTATTTACTGGATGCTTATATAAACGAACAATTCGAGGTTTGGCGCGCTTTGGCTAGCTGCGAAATTCGAAGTTGTTAACTACGTAGTTACTTGAGATTCCAGCAGTTCTTTCATGTAATTTGGTAAACATGCCACCTGTAAGGACTGACTTCATGTTTGAAATTGAATCAAGCAATGACTGATATAAATAATAGTGCTTGTATTAAAAGCAAATGTAATGTACTGTCAATCAAAGAACGCATTGTGAATCTTCTCATTGTTCTGTCCCTATCTACTTACTTCAGCTGCCTTCAGCCACTGAAGTTCCATTGCTGTGAGCTCCTGTTTTCTCTTCTGAACTGAGGAAAAATGATCGTGAGAATGTGAGGTTTTGCTTATTTTGTTTGTGAATATCTGCTCTACAAGAAATGCTACAATGGTAATTGTGAATATAGTGTTCGTGAAATAGTGTTGTGTTTTGGTGTTTTATGTGTTTCCAGTGATTAAGAAGCTATATGGTGGTTTTCTCCAATCTCTGTGGTTCCAGCGGTGCAATATTTGGATACCCTGACTAGCTTTGCGCTTCGGTTATAACGTCCTAAGTGCTTATCGTATATCATTCATATTAATCTATTATTGTGTTCATATTGAAAGGTTGGTTCTCAGAATTAATTCATATAAAACTAATAATAACATACAACGGTAAGGCACTTTCTGGTTTTGCTGAAAATACAATCAATACAGAAGCAACAACAATTCAAGCATTATTTTCAAAGTACAAAGAAATTATTGGACTGGTGCCAGTACTTAATATGACTGCTGAAGATGAATTAGATATATGTAATAGCAAGAAGTAATACATTAAAATTAATAATAATACACATTCTATACTATGTTGTCTTTTGTATAGTATGCAGAAAAGGTTAAAAGGTTAATGATTTTAAACAGTGTATGAAATGTATGATCGAAAAAAGTAGTGTTAGGGAAACATTAGCATTTCTATGAAATATTCTAATCTATAATTATGTGATATTTAATCGTGTAATATTTAAAAACACTAAATACTTTTTATTGATTGCAAATTTCAGTTTTATTTCTTTTCGTTTGGTATCTATTCTTCCAAACACTGTGTAATTCGCGTTTTTCTTTAAATATTGCCGTTATGTATGTTCATTAGATTATCTCAATAAATGAATGTTGGAAATTAGGTTTTACGTTTTATTAAATTTAAGTATATTCTATTTTCTTAGCTTACTTTTTATGTGCTTGTGATAACAAAGAAATTCATAATAAATAGAAACAAAACGTTTCATCGTGTGCTATTTAACGAAGAGCTTACTTTAACGTACTTAGCTTACTATCGTATACTATATTATTTAAATTATTTCTGTACAGTAACAAAAGGAAAGTTATTGATTATAAAAAGTGCATGAAATAATCATTGTAACCTACCACTATTATAAAATGTAGAAACTAAAAATAAGTAAATACATTAATATATGATCGAAAGAAATAATGTTAAGAAACATCAGCATTACTAATAAATACTGCAATCCATAATTATTTTAATTTTAATTTTGTTACTATTCTTCTGCTATTTATACTTTCCAACACTGCTAGTTCATGTTTTTTCTTAAATAGTGCTGTCATGTATGTTGTTTATTAGGTTATTATTTCATTTTATATATGGATATGGGAAGTTTTTTTTTTTTTTTTTTTTGGTTATTAGATTTAAGTATATTTTGTATGAAATATTTTTGATCACATTTATTAACTACTTTATACAGTCTTTCATTTGCATATCTTGGAGATATAGATGTTAATGGTTATATTTTTTACTGTGAAACGCGAATAAATTTATACTTGAGTTCAGGTAAAATACTGATTATGTTACCTAAAGAACCGCTTCCTAATTTATCATGACAGGGACAATTTTCAATGTTTCTGAGATTTAACAGAAATACATGTGATAATGCTGTTATCAGAAACGATTTTTTTTTACCCCCGTATATATCTTTACTTTTTTTTATGTCTGATTGAGTTTTATTTACTTAAAACCTACTATTAATGTTATATATTTATAATAACCATTTTCATAATTACTCTCACTTAAAAAAAAATGATGAAATCTTAAATAATCGTAACTTAGAATTTAAGTTATTTAAAAATATAGTTTAAAGTACTGAAAATAATTAAGGCTATTATTAATTATGCATATTTCGTCTAAAGAGAAAAAATTGTATTATCTTCTGGTTTTCAAGAAATGATAAAATATTTAAACTTTAGAAAAATACAAGGAATACAAAACTTTAAAAAAGAATTAAAATATATTAATTTTTAAGCTTATTTTTCTGAATAAATCAATATGTAACACAAGGACATAATAACGACATTTTCACAACTGTTGCAAAAAGGTGGAATTTTGCGAACATTTAGGCGTAGTTAAGACGTCGTGATACGATGCTTTCACAATCAAAATATCACCTGCGAAAGATGCAATAACGGCGTCTATGCAACAAAACCTCATCTGCAAAGATGTAATAAAGACGTCTTTGCAACGGTTGCAAAACATTGGAGTTTCGCGGACACCTGGGCGTCTTAAAGACGATATATTGCAACGTTTTTGCAACATGACTCGCGACCAGTTTGGCGCAACATCGTTACGACGTTGCCGTTCTACTTATCTATGTGGGTTCATTTTCTCATTGAAACTGTTTACAATGAGTTTCTTTTAATCTAAAATATATTAGTAAAAATTATAGGGTGAAAGTTTTGTATGTTACCAAAATAGCTTTTATGTTCCTAAGATCTGTGAAAAGTTATAAAATGATAAGTAATGGTTTAATATATAATGTGGCATCCTTACAACTGAACAGGGATTTCATTTTCAATTATTACTATTTTAGGTTTCTTAACGTATTTCAGTAATACATACGTACATTCTACCTATCTTTTCATCACTACAAGGATTTTCAGTTCCTGGAACAGCTGGAAATTCATGAATTTTCCAGCGAAATTTTTCTCCATAGGTGCCACCTCTTAAAAACACTCTAATAGCAGTTCCTTTGGGGTCATCTAGAAACTCTACATTCCCTTGAAGACCTCCAGAATTGATGCTTGCCACTAGTCCATTGCTACTGGTGGATACCACTTGCGACTCTGAAAAAAAAATTTTTTTTCACAAAAGTGATTGAACAAAAGTATAGCATTACTTTTAAAGCAAAATAAAGAGGATTTTCTCTTTCTAATAAAAAAAGGCCAAATAAATTTTAACGGTATCTCATTTATCTGCGTCTGATTTATATAATACGTAGCATCTATATAACATGCCTAAATTTATGTAATGATACCGTAACATCATAATTAATTTTTAAAAAAAATATTGTAAATGTAGTACAAAGAAATTAACTCAGCATAATTTAAATTTACGCGTGGATGGAAGAAATGGTTTTTAATTATTATTAAAGGAAAATCTGCAATCTTATATGCAGAACCTCAACAATTAATTGAATAATAGGGACAAATATATTTACTTTAAAAAATAATCAATTAAAATTTCAAGAACACTCTGCTAATATTTCTTCCAGAGATATTTTCTGACTTCCAGTTATCAAGTATCGACTACCATATACAGAGTGAATCACCTAAAGTTCCCACTATAATTATTTCTAAAATAAAAGATGCTATTGATGTACTGATTTCATACAACAGGCATTTAGACAATGGCTTATAATTTGATCCCCGTACACGGGTTTTAATGATTACTAGGTTATGATTTTTGAACAAATTTACAATATTTTAAATGAAACATTGCCTATTGACGTCAATAAAATAAAACTAAAGGAAATTAGAATGTCACTGGTATTTTTTTCAGGGTTCTAGTGCAAGTTGTTTATATCACAACTGTAAAATACCGACAGTTCCATTTAACTGCATAGTTACTTTCTACAGTATTCAACTGCTTACAATATATCATTTGTCTACATTCGCTTTGCCTTAAACTGCCTGCATTGGGACTTTCTTGTCAGTATTTTGTGATAGTTCACAGAAGCAAGTCGTACTAGAAGAGGCATTTACTACGAATAAAACCGGAAAAGCCGACATTATCATGGTGTATAGGGGATTTACGAAAAATGCTGTTTGTTCTTGTAATGTGTGTACTGAAAGATATCCCAATAGACGTAAACCATGTCAACAATTATTTGTGAACCGTTCTTAACCTATTACGGAAAACTGAAAATGTAACACATAGAAAGCACAATAGAAAAAATCGAGTGACTGCACATGAAGGGTGAAATAAGTGAAAATTTATATTCTAACTGCTGTTGCTGTACACCCTCCCCCAACTTAGTACCCGCATATCGCAAGAAAGAGCAGACAACGGTCGGCATTTACAATTTTTGGGTTTTATGACAGTTCCTTAGCTAGTTGCACTGCTTTGAAAATTCGCCATTAACATTCCGATTTCCTCTAGTTTTATTTTTTTTTATTACTGATGTTAGTAGGCATTGTTTTGTTTGAAAAAAATTTAACCTTGTTAAAAAATACATAATCTAATAATTATTAAAATCCGTATATGGTCTCAAATAATAAGCCCTTGTCTAAACTTCCACTTTGAGGAGAAATAGGCATATCACTAGCGTCTTTTATTTTGGAAATAATTGTGGTTCAGGTTTTAAGTGGCTCATCCTGTATATTTACATACAGCAGAAATGCTTTAGCATTTTCTGCATCTTACACTTATTAACAAGAAGCAGTACAACGAATTTAACTACTATATCATAGGTTCTGATTCTGCACGAATACTTATAGACGATCAAGGAAAATATGGAATAGAAATATCCCCCCCCCCGAAATGCGCGAATATTTTGACAACAGATAAGTCTACTTAACGAATTAGGCAGATTATTTACCTAATTTTATCCAATGATCTAATGAAAAAGAGTTATCCAAACATTGCTTGTACAGTTTTTTATTTATAGTTTTTTAAAAAAACGCATTCTATCTCCATCCGAAGAAGAATAAAAGAAACAAAGACGACTTTATAAATCCTTTGGGAGGTCTCTGCATTCTTTTCGAATGAATATGAAAGAACGTAAAGCCTGCAGTTTTCTGCGATAAGCTAGGTTCAGCATTTTATTACTGGAAAAATTTCAGATACAATCAGTTTAAGTTCCATAAAGTCATCGCTGCGACTAAAATATTAAGAGCTCAATCAAAGTATTGATTTTAGTACGCAGCAAAAAATTTGGTAGAACCAGTTCGCTGGGAAATATATAAACCTGGAGATGTTAAGAATGCATTGCTTAAAGCCTTCAAACTGGTAAAAGTGTTTATTAAACGTCAAGCCTATACTTCTCAATTTACGATGTTAACTAAAAGGTATATATTCTTAATACTTTAGGTGGGTTTTATCCTTAACTGAAATGGCAGTTAATTAATACTAGATACTTAGCCAAGAAAATGTGAACAAGAAATGTTGCCTAACTATGCACACTGATTAACTCAATAATTAAAATTATTTTCTAGGTGTGCAAGCAGATAAGGTATCTTATTAATCATTTGTTATATTCTTGATTATGCACATCTATCATTTGATTTAAAATAGCTACTTGTTCTTATTTTTATTATGTACTGTAACTTAATTTGCATTTTTTGTTGCAGGCACTTTATAAAGAATATATTACTTTTACCCTGAGCTTCAGGAACTGAATATAAAGTATAACTTTATAATTTTTTATATTATATATATATAATGCCAAATAAATTAAAATAAATAATATGTTTAAAATTCATTCCATATTCAATTTGGAATAAGCCATATGCAAAAACCAGAAAAATCTGCAAGAAAAGGAAGCAAAAAATGCCAAAACTAAAAAGGAAATAAGAAATTTGCATCTTTGTATGTATAAGCTTTTAAACATATATGAACTTAATGCATAATAATATTTTAAATGATAAATTTAATTTCCTGAAATATGTTTTATTGAAACAATTTTTATTTTCATTCATTTATTTATTTTGCAGTTCTTATAATTTATTCATACATTTAAATAGTTAGCTAATAAAAACCTACAGCTCGCTCTATCCCTCCCAATTATCTTTCAAATTTGGAAATTATGGTATTCAATTATTTAAAATGTTTTATAATTCGCTCCCATAATCTGACGTAGAAAACTCAAAATTTGTTTAATGGAAAATTCAGAAAACAACATACAACCATTCTCATTTCCTGCATCTGAGTGATCATTGAAACTAACAATTAATTTTTCGATGTTCTTATCACTTCCAGTAGTTACTCTCTTAACTACATTATTACATTCTAGTATATAATTTCACTAATATTAAAAATTTTCCTTTAAAGTATGTGAAAATGATTAATACAGCTGAAATGTTTCAACAGATTTTCCCTCTTTCGAATGCGGAAAACTAAAGCAATAATAATAATAATATTTCAATAACCTTATAAAATCATTCTGAAGTTTCAGCGTGCAGTAGAAATTATATCTGCTGCTACAGGAAATGCAACTTAATGTAATCACGTTTGTCCACCGAGAGTTTAAAATTCATTCATCAGTCAATTTTGATAACATTAAACGATGGGAAAGAACATCCTTCAAAATAGCAACTGAATTTAACTAATTTAATATTAAAATACCAGGAAATATATAAATAGGTACTTTCACATCATTTTAATTAGGAAAATTCAAAAGTTTATTTATTAAAGGTTCGTGACGGTTCTAGAAGTTATTTGACCCCTAATTTTAATATTCGGAAGTTGAAATTAATGAGAACATGCTCAATGAAAAAGAACATGCTAACGTAAAATTTTAAATTAAGCAAAAAAGAAACCTTAGTTTCTCGTAGATGTTTTCAAGGAATTTTTTCCCAATGGAAAGAAAATAAATTCTGCTAAGTTTTTTTTTCCTTCTTTCTAGTTTTAAATGGTTGATTGAAATGGAAAGCTGTTTATCATGTCCAAAGGGAACATTTTTCAGACCATTCCATATTCTAAGTCGCACTGATAATAAATAAATTAAAGATCTTAAGACTCCCGTGATAGCAGTACTTGTCAGGTTACGGGGATAATAATTATAAATAATATTGTAAAAGAGCTCTGGATGCTCGATGATCGACTACAAGCCTTAACCTTTTGGCTCAACTTATTATATGGTGGGACAAGGGGGTTTGTAAGAAACATTCTATAAGGGGAACTAAAAGTGACCTTTCCAAAACCTGGCCGCTTCACACCCGATAGGAGAGGACTAAATCTCTCAACACACCACGAGATTATACAAACCGACATTTAAAGAGTGTCCAGATAGTTTAAGTTACAGGATGAAAGGAGAAAAATGAAAAGATGTTTCTAATGATGAAAACACTTAACAATCTTAAAATCAGATAAATGGCATCGCAAAAAGAGTTCAAGTGCAAATGAAGCATAGTAATTTTTATGATTAAGCATTATTCCCTTAATGAAAAATAATTTTAAGTAGATTTATTAATCAAATGGATGCACATTAGATTTTAGCAAAAGACGTAAAGAAACTTTCAGATGAATATCCTAAACACAAGCAAACTATAAAATGTTTCGAAACTTAAGTTTATGGGTTTTCTCTGTAAAATTCTATCTATTTCTTTTAAAATATAACGTTGTCAACTATTTGAATATTTTGCTGGTTCTTGTATTTTTTTTTTTTTTTTTTTTCAAAACGTGGAAACAGCATTACAGAACTAATGAACAGGGCAAATAACCATGATATTTTCACCCTCTGTAGAGTCATTAGGTACTTATCGTTGCAGAAAACATGGAAAATGCCTTAGCCAGGATTACACTTCGAGACCTTTCACTTGCTAGCTGGATGTGTTTTCATTTACATCTCTAAGGGACACGACAATCAGGACGAAAATACTTTACATACTTAGCAGAATTTTCTAGCACTTCCTACTGTAAGGCTCTTGAGATACCAATAATATTTATTTTTAATCTAGGGGAAAGTAAACGGAGCTAAACATTCGTAATCAGTGCTTTACACAAAATTAATCAGGACTAAGTTAAATAAACTATTTGCTTTTAAAGTAATGTCTCATTCTCTGAAAGGTGATTCGTGCTTATCAGTATTTCACATTTTTAAATAAATCGCAAATATCCATGAAAG